TGAATTGTGATGAACGGGTCTTCACTCCAGATTACACTGTCTTCGGGAATTTCTTCTTGCGCGAAAATTCCAAGATGGATGGAAGGGTCTTCTCCGATCGTTCTTGGCGTTGATTCTTCCCATTTATATATTCTTTCGACTCGCACTCCTTTCGAGGCAAAAACATCTAATTTTTGTTGTAAAATCCGAATCCGTTCATCCGAGATCCGGTTCTCAGACCTCCTTTTATCCCAAGGATACTCGAACTTGCACGTTCCCATATTCTTAATCAATTCAATAACTTCGGCTTTCTTGAAATTTCTGACATTTGGATTATTGAAAATTTTAGAAACATAAGAGATACAATAAATCAACCGTTCCTTCAGCTTCTCTTGGTACTCATTTCTTTTGTTCATTAATTCGTTTCTTAGATTGTGCGTCAGGCATTTACCATACTTCTGATGATTCAATAGATGATCTAACACCGATACAGCGCGTGAGATGAGGCCCAATCGGTGAAGGGATTCGGACACGAGATCGTAGGATTTTACGAGCAGATCTTGCAAATTTGAATCCAATGAGAGGTGCGTTGATTGGGAGATACTTGGTGAAGGATGACATGAAAAGCCGAGATTATCATCTATAATAGAATTTAAGGAGTTATCGATTGTAGAAGTTATAAGAAAATTGGCTCTGAGGGCATCAACGTAGGAGAGCTCGTGAATTGAAAGTTCTAAATTGATGAGGGCTCTGTCGCACCATAACGATGGATCCGTAGATGTATCGGAAAGACATTTAGTGTAGGATTCCCACGCTGAGATAATATCACTGTTACGAAAGGTATTGTTGTCATGAAGACATGAACCCATCTTTTTTTAAGTATGGTCAGTGAGAACAGGTATGTATTTTTATTAAGTTTCACAATTAAATTGCCAGAACTTTCTAACATCACTTTTGTCATGACTACATCAACATGACGTAAATTGATATAAAAGGCCACAGTGTTTACTTCTGTCCATCCAAATTTCTTTAATATATTACCTACCCGCGAAAAGATAGAGCAAACCTATAGATAGGAAGCGCTACCTTGTGAAAGTGGTTGATACCAATTTGTTCGGACGAAATATTGTCAAGGGAAAAGAAAAAGATTTGTTATGTGTGGATCTCCAGCGACAAGTAACGAGCGACAGCACGAGCTCTTGTGCAAATGATACCCTGAGCATGAATTTCTTATCGACATCGGGTCCGGGCTTAATTTCAGACATAAAGAGTTTCTTACCTTTCTGTTTGGAACAAGTCCTCGATGGAATGGTCAAGGAGGTTGTTGTTACTTGACTAGATTGATCATGTCGATTCGCCAACAACCTTGTTGACTGGATTTACCACAGATGCACGGAAGAACACACAAGCAAGACCAGGGGGTCGGTATGGTGTAATAAAGTCTTTCGATGTGACGGTGCGAGTTAATGATGAACAGAGAAACAGTCAGGGTGACCGGTGTGTTTGTTACAGAATGCGTTTTTTCTTGTATGGGAAAATGCTTACATAAAAAAAACCAATGCCATCATCAATTTATATTTAAATGATTACTGTTGAGAGAATGTGCTTGCTTTGATAATGTTTATTATTGTATTTCCGGAATGCGATATTATTTGATATAATTAATACATTACACAAATGCGTTGAGCGTTAACTGATAGGTGAACTAGATAAATCGCTTAAAATCACAATGTACCGTACGATCGAATGTTACAAGAAAAAAAGAATTCAATCATGACATTTAAAGATTTCCCAAAACCCGATACAAAAGAGAGTCGTGAATTTTTGTGGCGTAATTTTGTAATACTTAAACGATATAACTGATCCATATCCAGTATATGGGCATCTCTTTCTCAATCTCTTGTTTTTACTATTTCGGCATCCCCGAACTAAATGGCGGTTAAACTTGTGCAAAAAGGAGACTTGAATTCCCTACAGGCATATTTAAATTCTTTTTCGTGTGAAGAATCTCGTAAAATCGTGAATGCACCTGACCAGCACGGAGATACATTGATTCATTTTTCAGCACGATTTCACAAAAAGAACATGCTCCACCTACTTATCCAGAATTATGGTGGAAATGCCATGGCAGTTAACGATCACGGTAATTCTACATTCTTTTTAAATTGTTACACCATAAGAATTAAAATCGACTTTTAACCCTCGATTATATCCGTAGGACGACAGCCACTACATGAAGCGATTGAAAGTTTGGAATGCGTGAGTTATTTGTGTGAGCAAAATGTAGATGTCAATTGTATGAAACGCGGGGATTGGACACCTTTGATGATTGCAGGTGCGGATATCTTCAATCCCGTGTGAAAAATCGAATAATTTTTTTTTTAAAATAAATCGATGGATCCGTGTAGCGATGAAAGGTAGACTTGATATTGTCAAGGTGCTCATCAGATACGGTGCCAGA